AGGTAACAACCAATAAAATACCAGACACCAGGTAACAACCAATACAACACCAGACATCAGGGTAACAACCAATACAATACCAGACACCAGGTAACAACCAATACAACACCAGACATCAGGGTAACAACCAATACAATACCAGACACCAGGTAACAACCAATACAACACTACACATCAGGTAACAAGCAATGCAACACTAGACATCAGGGTAACAACCAATACAACACCGGACATCAGGGTAACAAGCAATACAATACCAGACATCAGGTAACAACCAGTACAACACCAGACATCAGGGTAACAACCAATACAATACCAGACATCAGGTAACAACCAATACAATACCAGACATCAGGCTAACAACCAATACAACACCAGACATCAGGCTAACAAGCAATACACCACTACACATCAGGTAACAAGCAATACAACACCAGACATCAGGGTAACAACCAATACAATACCAGACATCAGGGTAACAACCAATACAACAACAGACACCAGGGTAACAAGCAATACAATACCAGACATCAGGTAACAAGCAATACAATACCAGACATCAGGGTAACAACCGATACAATACCACATATCAGGGTAACAACCAATACAATACCAGACATCAGGGTAACAACCAGTACAACACCAGACATCAGGTAACAACCAATACAATACCAGACATCAGGGTAACAACCGATACAATACCAGACATCAGGGTAACAACCAATACAATACTAGACATCAGGGTAACAACCAATACAACACCAGACACCAGGTAACAACCAATACAACACCAGACATCAGGGTAACAACCGGTACAACACTAGACAACAGGAAACAAGGAATACAACACCATACATCAGGGTAACAACCAATACAATACCAGACATCAGGGTAACAACCAATACAACACCAGACACCAGGGAACAACCAGTACAACACCAGACATCAGGTAACAACCGATACAATACCAGACATCAGGTAACAACCAATACAACACCAGACACCAGGTAACAACCAATACAATACAAGACATCAGGTAACAAGCAATACAACACTACACATCAGGGTAACAACCAATGCAACACTACACATCAGGTAACAAGCAATACAACCATCAGGGTAACAACCGATAAAATATCAAACATCAGGTAACAACCAATACAACACCAGACATCAGGGTAACAAACAATCGATACCAGACATCAGGGAACAACCAATACAACACTACACATCAGGCAACAACCAATTCAACACTACACATCAGGTAACAACCAATACAATACCAGACATCAGGTAACAACCAATACAATACCAGACATCAGGTAACAACCATTACAACACCAGACATCAGGGTAACAACCAATACAACACTAGACATCAGGATAACAACCAATACAATTAACACTACACATCAGGGCGCCAAGCAATACAACACCAGACAACAGGGTAACAACCAATACAACACTAGAAATCAGGATAACAACCAATACAATTAACACTACACATCAGGTAACAAGCAATACAACACCAGACTTCAGGGTAACAACCAGTTCAACACTAGACATCAGGGAACAAGCAATACAATACCAGACATCAGGTAACAACCATTACAATACCAGACATCAGGTAACAACCAATACAACACTAGACATCAGGGTAAGATTAGAATGGTTTAAAGGAGCTATACCAGGTGAAGCATCGCAAAGTGACTGTCAGAGACTATGTGGTATGCACCTTTCACAGCGTCTGTGTCGTCAATAAATAGTTATAGGGTTATATGCGACATGTTTATTACAGCAGTTATTGAACTGTATAAATTGTAGCCTCTTCGCCCCGTCTACTCGGCCACCGTTAGCCTCATTCAGCATCCCTGTCTCCAGCGAGTCAGCTTACAACTATCGTGGGTTCGAATCCCTAATTCAGATTAACATGCTCTTGGTTTGATGTAACTAAGTACTCTTCAAATGGACACCCAATACACTCGTCGCTCCAGTTCACTTTACTCTGTCACTATTAAACACTGCTAAACATGAAATGAGAGTGGTTTATTCCACCGACCTTGGGCTCAGGTCGACTGAAACACCAGAAGACACGTTTTCCACAGTCAGTAGTGGTTTAATCATATGACAGTCACATTTTGCAGTTATGAAGCAAGAATGCATCAAGGGAAGCAAGGGCCACTGCTTCATATATAGAGTGCTTCACAGCCTGTGTGTTTCACGGAGACAGGGGTCGCTATGCAACTGTTTTGAATAGTATTTTATTTTGCTAAGATGTCATTATTTGCACCAAACCCGTCCCCGCCGGAAAGTATTTCAGTAATATCAAGTGTGGAGTTGAAAGTGCGTCCTGGTGACCTGGGGAAGAACCACACAGTTGTGGTACATATATCTGCTGTTCTTGTCCAAGGGTGGTTTGGCGACATGAAGGAAACGTCCTTTGTGTTTCCTGACGAACCTGGTGTGAAGACTGGGGTCCGTCTAAACATTCTGTGTTTATTCCGGGAAATCGATGTGAGTAAACAGGTCATTCAGTGCGCTGCTAATTGCGTTACATGGGAGTAAATATATTCTAAATATTTATCCAAGACCTGGATACACAATTTAAAACTGTCCCAAGATATAATTATTGAATAATATATAGTATAAACCTGAGTAAATACAGAGAGAAACATGTACTGACTGGTTGAATAAGTCAGAAGCTTACAGGGGAAACTAAACATTTTTAATTATACTTTGTCCATGTATTTTGTTCTAGAGTTGGGGTTCACACTGTTGTGTGGAGTGGTTGGGGTTCACATTGTGGTGTGGTCTGTCTGTGGTTCACATTGTGCGGTGGTGTGTTTGGGGTTCACATATTGTGCGGTGGTTTGGGTTGGGGTTCACATTGTGCGGTGGTGTGTTTGGGGTTCACATTGTGCGGTGGTGTGTTTGGGGTTGATAAGGTGAACATACTACACAATCTGAATGTCTTTTTACAGTCAGTGGTATCAATGCAGTGTTGACCTTCCTGTATCGTTTGGCGCACAGAAGGTCACTGTATGTTTGTTTTATGGCCATTAGAATGAACCACCTGCCCACTGCTTGTCAAGTATCACGCCTATGATGGTCGTTTCATGCTCGCTGTTTGTTAGGTTGGCCAGTCATGAAACAATGCGAAATTACATGGTACACCGGGACTTCAGTAACATTTGGTAGCAGTTAAAACTGTGAATAAAACGATTGTTTGTGACCACACTTAATCGTTACATGCTTGGAATGATTCTAAAGACAACTATCGATGTCCGAACCATCTGTCGCAATCAGCTGAGCACACATAAACATCGCCGGGAAAAGTGAAATCGACAAGTGTCTTCTTACGTCCACGCACTTCACGTGCTGTGGTGATATAGGGAATCGATTTGTAATAATTCGCCTCATTGATCTTTTCATCATTTATATATATTTGTCCGCTTCTGAAAAACACCAGATGGTCCGTGGCATATTTTGTTTCACCCTCAACTGTGAAAGTATACACAGCACACTGCTGCCGACACAAGGACAACCCACCCTATAGTGTGTAGAATCGCTTCATATACAGGAACTAAACATCACTTTTAAAGTCTCGTGTCTATATCATTAGGCTATCGTCAGTACGTCAACAGAAAGTCTACACAAAGTACAAGGTAACACGACGCCAAGTTTGATTATATTTTCAAACGGCAAAAATATGAATGGTATATTTGTTGTCATGGTTACTTGATGAGCAGGAGATCGAAATACCTGTAACGAACACTGCGGCACTATCCACCCACACCTTATGGACAAACATTGCATCTATATTACACTAATCTGCTATTCAAACATCACTAAATGCACGATCCAGACAATGTATCAACATTGGACTTATCTAAAACATAGCAGTTAAGGGTGAGACGCTCAAACACTACCTACAGAAACACGGATATTTAAATGTCACTCGCTGTCAGTGGATCTGACATCAATGCTAGGAGTGGTTTATAATAGCGATATCTAAAGTAATGCCAGTTTCATTCCACAAAGATATCTAATATCAGGACTAATTATGCGGGGCTGGAAAACGTCGCTCTTGATATTAGAATTTTGCACCTGGTGGTCCTTGGTGGTTGTTAAGACTGCCTGGTGAAGACTGTGGTCGGTACAATCCCAATTCAGCTCCATGTGTGTTACTAACCACAAACGTTTCCTATATTCCTTCAACAACCAAGGTATTTTTGCTCTGTAAACAAACCCATTGTGTATCAACCGTCAAATCGCACGTTATTAACCAGGAATAATTCATGATAATGTCACCTTTCACTCTAATACCTATTTACAATTTCCTTATTCGATAAATTACCATTGCACATACGTAAACGTTTGAAAATAGAAGGCCCACCAGGGGTCGCGCGGGGACAAAGAAGCTTTGTGGACGGCGGACACGGTAGACAGTAAACCGAGGATGAATCTCCCGCTGTGCGTCTTAGTACATCGCCAAGGGAAGGATTGCACGCTCATTAAAAGGAAACTATAAAATTTCTTGTATTATGTAGAAATATGTTGTCAGGCAGAAGGAATTTGACCCGCTGTGTAGGGTGATAGATGACGTCATGTGGCCTATATGTGTTCTGTGACATTTGACGTAATCAAGGTATATTCCGATTTCCGATGACAAACGGCAGAGACAAGAAAGGTGTAGTCGCACCGCCTGTAGGCGACGTAACCTGATCACGTCAAATATATATGTTGCTTTTTTGTTCATATTATCAGTTTACTGAGCATAGACACCTTGAGGAATGGTAGTTCTTCATTATGGGATCTCGGGTTCGTGGATAAGGATGTTCTGTATGTCTTATTTGTGATAATGTGGGCATCACTGTGGTTGTGGGAACCAGATACCATATCATACATATAATCTATTATATGGTCTCTGTAGGAACAGGCCCTGCTTGAACGTATCGACTGAAGACTCGCTAATGTATGCGGGATTTAGCAAGAGTCGCTATGACTCAGGTTGCCCCTGTTGGTAATGTTACCTCGATCGTATAATATACATCATTGATAGGTATTATTGTATCGCTGTTCGTATAGTGACCAGGTTTAAGAGATCTATCCTTCCTTCCACAGCCCAGTTGCTCGGGGTCCATGCTTTTCACGTTGTACAGTGATATAGAGGTTCCCGGCAAACCAGGGTCGAGCACTGATTTATATGTGTAAATCTATTGTCTATTTACCTTGTCACATTCCGCCTGGGTGGAAGACAAAAGAGAGGAGTAATTTCATTGCTGATCACACAACTATTCAGTAAACGTGACTAGGAAACGCGCCGAGTCGTGGCTGCGGTGGAACTGATGTACGGTATCCTTCACAGCCCCACGCATCTACATAAAGTTCACCATCTGGCGTGAATCTCAATAAAAGCCGCCTCTACCTAGCCTACGGAATTGCATAGTGTAACCATAAGTCTGAAAATACCTCGACTTTGTACACATTCACTTTATCCATATGAACGAATTGTATAGACCTGTTAATATTTATTTTAAAACGAATTTCAGTTAAATATGACTTAGCCTTTACATTACTGAATCTAACAGAAGCACATCTGTCATGAGGCAGCAGGTTTTGGTTGATGTTGGCGATGCTGCGAGTGTAACATGCAGTTTGTTGTCGTTTATGTAACATCAAGCTGTTCACGGTGTGGACTGAATTTGTGTTAGTTTTTTTTCTCCGGCAGCCGGCTGTCGAATTAGTAAACACTTTTGAAAAAACCCTTTTCCACATGGCATTGTGTAATAAAATTATTCAAACTGAGGAAACCTTTCACAACGTTGGGCGTCATGCTAATGCTGTTCTTCATTGAATATAGTATACAATGAGACTGATGTGTTAGACTCCCCCTTCTCCTTAAATAACCCCTCCCGAAGACCCGCCTGTGACAGCTGAAACTGTTCTGATCAAAAACACAATCTTATGCACAATAATAAACATAAAAGGTGATTTTTCATCCTATGACTGTTCAACAATATTAGTACTTTTCGGTGATTTGCCTCCAGTATTGGCGCGGCCTGTAACGAGCAATACCATATTGTGCTTCCCGTGTAAGCAGGCGCTCCCAGCCAGCAGATCTGTGCCTTCTATACTGTTTCCATCTGTGACGACAATGCTGATTCAGGGGGTGGACTTTATTGTGGGGACGTCTTTAACAGTATGGGCACGTAAAAGTTGTGTTGCCTTCTCCCAAGACAGCAATACGTCAGCTGGTGTTGGACGCGAGGACAAGGTTATCGTGAGTCACATGTTGTAGAAGTAGGTGGGTCGTGTAGGTGGTATTGTCAGGTGGTATTGTCAGGTGCTAGTGTGTATGGAATAATACAGCGCATCAATCAACATGATACATCTAACACTACATGACATGTAATAGCGCATTGGACTTCAGAGTCACCGATACCCCCGCCATTCTTGTCAGCTGACAATTGTTATATTTTTTTCTGAAAGCGATGGGCACAAATGCTTACAAGCTTGATACATTTGCGCAGTTTTATTAAAAGATAGGAAAGGTTTACCACAAAAAAACAATATGCTCATCTGTACTAGTTTACATGGAAAACATTATAGAAACAAACGAAAGTTGACACGCATGTTGGATCATTGACAACTGTTTTATACAAACGAAAGATGAACATCCGTTGGTGTGTATTTGATACGGTTATCACAGTGGTGCATTTTAAGGGTATTCTTACTTTACTTCGTTCAGGTCCAGACACCAGTTCAGCTCTTCTCGTGTATACCAGGTGTCACGAAGATCCAGGAATTCGTGTCCCCACATGGAGTTACTGTGCATCAAGAAAAGTACTATACACATACTATAGGTGTCCCCACATGGAGTTACTGTGCATCAAGGGAGTTACTGTGCATCAAGAAAAGTACTATACACATACTATAGGTGTCCCCACATGGAGTTACTGTGCATCAAGAAAAGTACTATACACATACTATAGGTGTCCCCACATGGAGTTACTGTGCATCAAGAAAAGTACTATACACATACTATAGGTGTCCCCACATGGAGTTACTGTGCATCAAGGAAAGTACTATACACATACTATAGGTGTCCCCACATGGAGTTACTGTGCATCAAGGAAAGTACTATACACATACTATAGGTGTCCCCACATGGAGTTACTGTGCATCAAGAAAAGTACTATACACATACTATAAGTGTCCTCTTTAGAATTTCTGCACCCTGGTGTCAAACTCAAAAGGTTTTATTGTAACAAGCGAACAAAGTATTATATATGCTGAAATCAAAGGTACTCAGCGTTTATAATTTGCCAGTAAATATTTTATTTTACATTTTCATAGAAACGTTCTTTTTGTGCTATCATATGGTGCAGACGTCTGCAAATTCCACCCTGCACTTAATATTGAACAGGTTCAAGATAAAAACTTTGTAAAGAATGTACCTTTCTGCCGAATATTACGGCTAGGGGTGAAATTGAAAGACATTCATTAAACGTAAATATATATGTTAGTTATATATGTTATCATGTTAGTTAAGATATTTAAATATTAGTTCGCATTTTTAAATCTTCATCTTAATTATATAATTAAGCATGTACATAGTTTCCAATACAAGTTGGTACAGATTGCTGGGCCGTTAAAGTTAAAAAGTTATATCAGTGTGGCTATGGAGATCTTTGGATAGAGCAAGGGGTTGAATTAATTCCTAAATTAATAAGTGTTTTCAAACAGGGACGAACGGATATTGATGTTCAAATGTGGATAGCAGATTTTTAAAAATATTCCAAGAAAATTTTGTTTACCGTAATATCAGGTTTTAACCTATTTAATCAGATTTATCACACATGAAGGTGAAAGTATGGCCCGATGGCCCGATGACGGAAATAAACTGAGTGGACTCAAGAACATACATATCAAACAAGGGCCTAACTCAATTCTCGACCTCCTCATTTATCTTTTAATGGTGTCTGTCAAATCTCATCCTTGTGTTCACAGTGGATTCCATAAAACATGTCCACTCTGAGGTCAGCCACGTCCCAGCTCATACAGTAACTCACTCACTGACTTCTCCCTCACTCTCCAACCTAGACAATCACTCGTTCACCCATAACCCCATTTATCCACTCACCCAGACAAACACATTCTGTGTCTGAGATCAGAGACGATATCAAAATTTAATAATTAATTCTGGAAACTATTTCCAAACCATGGATATCTGTTGACAATCTCATAAGTCTACTTTGTTCACTTGATAAGAAAAGGCTGTTTTCGTATGCTACCACTTACCGAAGAAGAAAATATGGACATGGACTCATAAATATTAACTAATTTCTCATTTGTTCACCTGAAGCGTGCACCTGCCAGTTGTCCCTAGTGGCACTGTGTGGCAAATAAACACGACCTCTCAACTGTAAATTCAAAAGTGTGGACAAACTAAGTTGTTCACGTTCAACAAAATGTCGGCTCTACGTGCCATCCTACAGTGCGCATGTCACCCCACACATACACTTTGACAAATCACGTATTAAACTGCGCGCTCTGTCGGAGGAGCGGCCGGTTTTCCCTGGCCTCTGGCTATTTTGAATACAGGATGGAAGATGACAATATTATTTACCGGTTCTCATCAAAGTTGTCTTTTCCAGTATGTCACAGACGCGCATTAATATTCGTCTCCATGACGGACATACAGGTGGGGCTGTCACATCGGATTCGCCCCGTCAAACTTAATTACAACGTAACGTCTCCCGTCACACGGAAGGGGCCCGCTGCCCTCGAAAATACCAAAATGAGAGGGGACGTGAACAAACATGTTCAGCCTGTTGTGGAAAAAAGAATGGCGAATCAAAGTCATGGACGGGGTTTGATTAACACGAGACTTAAATGCGTGTTTAGTAGTTCCCCCTAACTGTTGAGGATAGAAGTTCCTCCCAACTATAGGGGAGGCATCGATTAAGTACCAAGCAACTAAACCTTAAAGGCACCGAACAAACTATATATTCATTAGATATTGAGGAACAATGTTGTTACATCTAATATTTCACATATTTTTATAATGGACATGAGTAAATCATTGTGGTTGCAAGAATAGTTACTTCTGATCAACTTTATTTAAATCTGCTATAAATGATTTATTCACAGTTTTGACCCAAAAATAAATGTACAATAAATAAATTTGAAGCATGTTTCATATATCGTTAAATGTATCAATGCTTTTACACTTACATACATATGCCAATGTTCCTATACAAAGCGTGTTTGTGACGTTTTTCGTACCCTTTCACTTAACACGTGTCTCCCTCGGGCATCTCGCAAGACAAATACAAAAACATATTAATTGCTGGCTCCGATCACTGTTTGACACGGACACTCACACCAAAGTGACATTGTTGATTTCATTTGAGCAGAAAATACGACAAATTAGCAGAAATGTCAAACTCGCCACCCGAGGCGATAACAACGACTCGTCAAAGGCGAGTTCTGCTACCCAAAGGGAGGCGATCACGTAACCGCTGACCTCTAGTCGGAATCAACTTGTCCTGAGGCACTCCACGCCGAAATCGGCGAACCATTCACCCTGGCCAAGGAACCGTATTTCCCTCTGCATTGACACAGGGAGAACAGCTTATACCGGGAACTGGCAGTCGCCGCCGGAAAGTGGTACTTGTCTAATAACCGTTTACATTAAATCTTTGGGTATGATTTATTTATTCCAGTTACCACCACATGCCCCAGACAGACGTTCAACAAATGACCACCCCATCAAACTGGTCAGCGCGGCCACCACACTGCCATAGATTTCAGCATTGACATAATTCAAATTGAAATTGAAATATCAACATTACCATCACCGCTCTGAAGGGCTTTCTGGACATGTGTTTACTCTTCTCTACAATTTGACAGCGAGTGTTACCCATACACAATGAGTAAATTTGCAGATAAGTGTTAATTACTGTATGAACGTCAGTGATATTGACAAGCATGCTATTGACAAGCTGTTTATTGACACTGCTCTTGGGCCTCTCCTATCAAAGGAGACATTCGACCACAGGCTCAGCGAAATTCTCATATTTGCGGAAGCAATGTTTCGTATCGAAACCTAGTCTCGTTTATTGGTCTCTCTTTCATGTGAAGAGAGAAAAAATTCAGTTTCATTTCCACGTGTTTATTATGTAAACACTTTTGGGCGATTCGCTACATCTCGAAAGTCGTTCATTTAGATGGTATCCTAGCAACACTCTTTGTTCTATGATTTTTGCCAATATATGTAAATAAACTTCACAATCCCCTCATCACTTATCAAATACCCTGGCAAGACAAATGGGGAAATCATCAATGTTATAATTGGGCATATTATAGCGCACTCAATATCGCCGACAATTCTCGTCCGTTTATCTTGGCTTCCTTCGCCCGCGAGACACTAATTTCACTATGAGTTCGGTTGGGTCGAAATTGCATAAAATGAAAATTGACAAACAGTTCTTTGAAATGCGATATACTGTCGTGGAGGTAACGAGTACAACAGATGACAGTAAATAGCAATCATCTTACATATGTTTGTCGAGCATAGTTACATTGTCAGGCCGGATCTGTACGCCAAGTGTCATAACGGCTTCTCCGCCTCCTCCCCAGAGAAATGTCAACAACAGCGATGTGTGTAAACAACTTTTCAATAGTGAACTTTTAGTGATAGATAAAAACATACTGTTAGGCAGATATTGTCAGAGAAAATACACAACAAGCATCGGTCAGCCTGAAGGTTTGATTGATGGGCATGCGAGAAAGAAATGGACAAGAGATGGCGTGTCATTGATTCCCTTCCTTTGAAGGCCGCCACAATTAGAACGCGCTGGACTGTGCCGCACTGCACAAAGTAGCGGATAATTCTTGTTGGCTCATCTGGGACTAATTCTCACCTAATGTGTTGTAGTATTTACCGATATCTCCAACTGTCTGTGATGCCAAATAGATAATCTATCTCTGTATTACGTCTGCTCAATAAGGAGAATTTCCTTGTTCTTCAAAGAGTTTAAAAATGTGTGGTATTATGGTGTGCAAATAATGATCAGAATCTATATTGGATTTCAATCAAAGTACCATTTGGTAGCCACCGTCGTGAATCGTGCACACAGTACAACGGGTGATGTTCCGGTCTCCTTACACAGACATGGGCATGATAAAAACATTTAGAAATGTACATGAAAATCCAGCAGAGTAGAATCACTTCAAAAACACCGTGGCTCATTCAGACCCGAAACCATAAACCCATACATTGCCTCTGCTCAGACGAAGGCATAGTAAAGTCCTATTTGTGATGCTTTCAGAGTTGTATATCCCTGGATAAAATGTGTAATGTATGTTTCTATTTGAGCATATTCCCTGTCTACATAGAGAAGCGGATCCACGTCTTTGTATGTGATAATTGTGTTTACGCTTGGTCGTATCTTCCTAATCCCTGTTGTCAACTGCAGTTGCACTGATATTGATAACGACAATCGTGTTCATTGCCAATGAACTCTATAACCTCCAAGCAGCATACCGCGTACAAAGTTGTCTGATTTAATTCAATTACTAAGTCTTTGCTACCGCTAAGCGACAGTAAGAAGCAATTTGTACATATCATGTTTCAGATAATTGATTTCACCATTCCAGTATGTAACAGGACGCGGATATACCAAGCCGGAAACATTCCAATCCGCGCCTTCAGAAATTGACAACTTTTGTCCGTCAATCAAAATTTGACGGCTGGGAGAATTTGAACAATATGACATTAAAGGACAATCCCTGTTCGGTTTCGTCCGTCGGTAAGCGGGGAATAACAAGATCGGTCAAGGATCTGAGGTCAGTAACAGCGGACAAAGAAGTCGGACGTACAGTTGTTGCAGCTCGTCTGAGAGGGTGTCAGTCTCTCATATCATGACCTGTCCGTTAACTAGCCATCACGGTCAGCGGGGGTCGTGCATGTCAGGAAGGGGGATGTTTGTAGGGGGTGAAGTGTTTGGGCGGGGGCGTAAGGAAGGCGACTTTTTTTGACATGTGAAAACATGGGCCGTTTTTCGTTGAAAGGGTGGGAATTTGCAACAAAGGGTTCAGGTGTTTATAGAAGAACCCTTATCCCAGATGAAGGCGACAAATACAAGACGTTCATGTTCATTTTATTCATACATATGTACAAAGGTTTCAACTTACTGGATGACGCAAGAGTCATTCATTCATTCATTCATTCATTCATTCATTCATACTGGGAAATACAATAGGTGACATTTATTATTAACTAAAGGGTACACTGCATGTACTGGTTTAAAACATGACCCCTCTTGGATTTATAGTAGAATACTTTGGTATATCCAGTTGTGATGTCTTTGGTGTAAGTACATGCACGTGTTCTTCTAAGAATATTAAAATGTAACCTCATTCTATAACTTCTCTGTGTAACCGCTTTCTGTAGCTTCTTTTTGTAAGGTAGCGGTGGGGTAGCATAGTGGTTACAGTGTCCGCTCGTCATGCTGAAGACCCTGGTTCGATTCCCACATGGATAAAATGTTTGAAGCCTTTTTCTGGTGATATTGCTGGATATTGCTAAAAGCGGGGTTAACCCATACTCACTCACTCACTCACTCTTTCTGTAAGTTCTTTCTGGACCCTCTTTCTGTTATGTATTTCTGTATCTTTTTTAACCTCTTTCAGTATTTCTTCTGGAACCTGTGTGTTTCACATCTTCCTAAAGTCCCCTTCTGTGACTTCTCTCTGCTACTGACTACCGGGTTTACATCAGTGTGTTTCCTCAAGTCCCCTTCTGTGACTTCTCTCTGCTACTGACTACCGGGTTTACATCAATGTGTTGCATCTCCTGCCTGACAGTAACTCTTAGTGTTATACCATTGGGTTATATCTTTAACAAAACATGAGTCATCAATTCTATAATCGTTTCATGCAAGCTATTTTATACATGCCCACGTCAACGTGTTAATTATAAGGAATCTGTTTAATGCTTAAGTCATCGACACCCTGCAATGAACACACCACTGATGTCTGCAGCAGTCCTGGTGACGACTCCCGTCATTAAGCAGCTCTTAACAGATGCAGTCCGGATGCACGCACGCCAAGCGCTCTGACTTCGATCTGAGATTAGTTTGACAAATTTTACTTACTTCTTAAAACATCTGGGCCCCGTTTCATAAAGACATTTTAGCGGATTATTGTCGTAAAATTGTGTTAACACGTGGGAGTTGCGATCGCCTTAACGTTACGATCGCTTTGTGGATCACTAGTCCAGCTCCCAAATGCCGCAGTAGCTCCTTGATCAACAATTGTCGAGGGAAGATCTTTATACGGAGCAAGGTACGCGTCTTTTCAAAGTTTCTATTTCTTTATGGGGTGACCGCATAGACTTGCGGAAGAAGCCAGCCCCTCACCTCGCCTCCCTGTCTGGCGAGCAACAACCAATCATCCCCTCACCTCGCCTCCCTGTCTGGCGACCAACAACCAGCCAGCCCCTCACCTCGCCTCCCTGCCTGGCGAACAACCAACAACCAATCATCCCAACCCAGCCATCCCACCTCGCCTCCCTGTCTGGCGAGCAACAACCAGCCAGCCCCTCACCTCTCGCCTCCCCTGCCAACAACCAATCATCCCCTCACCTCGCCTCCCTGTCTGGCGACCAACAACCAGCCAGCCCCTCACCTCGCCTCCCTGCCTGGCCACCAACAACCAATCATCCCCTCACCTCGCCTCCCTGTCTGGCGACCAACAACCAGCCAGCCCCTCACCTCGCCTCCCTGCCTGGCGACCAACAACCAGCAGCCCCTCACCTCGCCTCCCCTGTCTGGCGACCAACAACAACCTCGCCTCCCCCCTCCTCAACCCTGTCTGGCGACCACCAACCAGCCAGCCCCTCACCTCACCTCGCCTCCCTGTCTGGCCTCACCCTGCCTCTGGGCGACCACCAACAGCCACCAGCCTCCCCTGTCTGGCGACCCCCAACCAGCCAGCCCTCACCTCGCCTCCCCTGTCTGGCGACCAACAACCAGCCATCCCTCACCTCGCCTCCCTGTCACGACCAACAACCAGCCATCCCCTCACCTCGCCTCCCTGTCTGGCGACCAACAACCAATCATCCCCTCACCTCGCCTCCCTGTCTGGCGACCAACAACCAGCCAGCCCCTCACCTCGCCTCCCTGTCTGGCGACCAACAACCAGCCAGCCCCTCCCTGTCCTCGCCTCCTCCCCTCGCCTCCCTGGGCGACCAACAACCAGCCAGCCCTCTCCGCCTCCCCTCTGCCTCCCCTCACCTCGCCTCCTCCCTCTGGCGACCAACAACCAGCCAGCCCCTCACCTCGCCTCCCTGTCTGGCGAGCAACAACCAGCCAGCCCCTCACCTCGCCTCCCTGTCTGGCGACCAACAACCAGCCAGCCCCTCACCTCGCCTCCCTGTCTGGCCCCTCACCTCGCCTCCCTGTCTGGCGACCAACAGCCAGCACCTCGCCAGGCGACCAACAACCTCACCTCGCCTCCCTGTCTGGCGACCAACAACCAGCCAGCCCCTCACCTCGCCTCCCTGTCTGGCGACCAACAACCCAGCCCTCGCCTCCCTGTCTGGCGACCACCAACAACCAGCCAGCCAGCCCCTCACCTCGCCTCCCTGTCTGGCGACCAACAACCAGCCAGCCCCTCACCTCGCCTCCCTGTCTGGCGACCAACAACCAGCCAGCCCCTCACCTCGCCTCCCTGTCTGGCGACCAACAACCAGCCAGCCCCTCACCTCGCCTCCCTGTCTGGCGACCAACAACCAGCCAGCCCTCACCTCGCCTCCCTGTCTGGCGACCAACCAGCCAGCCCCTCACCTCGCCTCCTCGCCTCCCTGTCTGGCGACCAACAACCAGCCAGCCCCTCACCTCGCCTCCCTGTCTGGCGACCACCAACCAGCCAGCCCCTCACCTCGCCTCCCTGTCTGGCGACCACCAGCCAGCCAGCCCCTCACCTCGCCTCCCTGTCTGGCGACCACCAACCAGCCAGCCCCTCACCTCGCCTCCTAGTCTGTCTCACAGTCCCTGAACCACATTAATTTCCCCACTGCCAAGCCCTCTCTGCAGTGCTAAAGCCCTAAATAAAGCAAGTCTAGATTTCCTCAGGTTCAGGTGAATCTCTGGTGTCCCTAGGGCTCCTTTTCAATATAAATGGGCTTGTTTGTTACTATCAAAATTATATATATTCAGAGACTAAGCCTTAGTCTACTCGCCTCCCTGCCTGGCGAGCAACAACCAGCCAGCCCCTCACCTCGCCTCCCTGTCTGGCGACCAACAACCAGCCAGCCCCTCACCTCGCCTCCCTGCCTAGCCACCAACAACCAAACCCGCCTTTGGTCTCTCTGAACATGAATCGCTACCTGTCAGACGGACATCTTTATTCAATCAGCAGACACACACAGTGTTGATCAAGCGAGTAGCTGGGGCTGCCTTATTTGGCAGAAACTGGAGCCCCTTATAAGATTTTTTCTTAACAAGCCCCTGATTCAAGCGCACACGGGTTTGAATAATTTATTAATTTGCTTCTGAGATAATTATAAGAAAGGTTCAATAAAGAAAACTATTTTGCAATACCAGATCCCCACTTGATGTTCTGACCGCCTCGCCCCGAAAGTTTTCCATCTTTATTGAACAACTTCATGTTCAATGATGTAAGGAAAAAGAAACATAACGTATTCTGGCACAAAGGAATACATGGCAAACAAACAGGAACACAAGAAGCATCTCCACAATCTCGATGTAAGAAACCCACTCTTCTCAACGCACAAAGAAAAGGCAGCATGCAAAGGGAAGTAACTCTAGTTATCTCCGGCGGCCAGACAAATGGATTGTTTTCCCCAGAATTATTTGCTTAATTTAAATTAATTTGACGGCAATAAAACAAGCCTTTACATTGACACATTGGTAAACTATCACATTATGTCATGTGAAGTAAAAAGTTTAATTTTTTTCTCTCCAAAACAATTTACAAACTAGACTTAGCGCAATGAGGAAACTGTGACTTCTCTGTGTTAATGCAACGTGTCGCATTAATGATATCGTTCTAGTCAATGTCATTTATTCTCTGAACTTTTTCAAATACATCAGTTGAATTGACTTGGGCTTATTTGCATTCAACGAATGATATGATTCGTGACCTTTTCTAGATTCCCTTCTAACAAATAGTTTTAAATATTTTAACAACACAAACATTGACAAGTCCCGCTGCTTGTTGACGGTAATGACCCTTACCCCGTGTTATAAACGTCTTTTCTTCTGTTGTGGCGTGAATGTTGACCCCTGTAGGCACGTCGGGACGCGGGGAATGCTGTGGTACATGTCAACATCTCGACGGAGCTTGTGTACACGACTCCGAACCAATATTTAAATTATGAGACAGAGCAAAGTCCGTCCGATTAATAAAACATAATTTGTAACACGTATCAATGATGTTCACCCACATTTCAATGTATGCTATAACTGTACGCAATTTCGACATACCGAGCAAGACAACAACCGGCAGAAAACAGGTGCGTGCATACACTGAATCACTCTCAATGGTATTTCATGCAAATTTGCAAATAAACAGCCTACAAACATTCTAACATCAGAAAATATAAACATGTAAACATGGTAACAAATGGCACTTTATGTGTTCTACATTTCCACACCCTTGCTCTGGCCCGTTCGATGAAAGTTGTCACATGGAATGGAAAAATGTTAAGATGTTTAATTATTCTATAAAGAAATTTGGTCTTTTGGATGATATGACAATGTGAGACAGATTACTGCCGTGTTTGACTCTGGTGGTTGACAGGTAGATACACAGCTACACTGACACTGGATCTGACGGACAATGTCCACTGTTTACTCCTGATCACACAATAGTAACTCGCTACAACAACTCTTCCCTTTCAGTTCCGTTAGACGTGTTTACTGAATGTCGTAATAGTGGTGACCTTGACATGCTACCCGGGAACTGGCAGTATAGTCATACCAGTCTGTCTCACAGTCCCTGAACCACATTATTTTCTCTCCCACACAGCCCTATCTGCAATGCTAAAGCTCTCAATGAAGTAAGTCTAGATTTCCCCAAGTTGAATCTCCCAACTCACTGGGGCTCCTTTCCAATTTAAATGGGTTTATCATAAATTGTTACGTTACCACCAATATATATATATATATTCAGGGAAGCGTTAGTCTGAGCGCTATTGTACAGGGGAGGCGTGGTGAATACACACATCACACGAGTTGAAAAGACAGATACATGAACTGTTTGGCGAAATGCCATGCAATAAAACCCTTTATCTGCAACACAAACGAGAATTAAGATACTTAAAACCTAGATGGTTTGGTGTCAGGTTTTGGTTAGTTCGTCTGTCTTAACAATAATAAATATTTTCGAGATAACTGTGATGGAAACTGCATTCCGTTTTAAATATCTGCTCCCGTATTTAGCTAATACAATTTACTGAAGAAGATTGAGACGGAAACCTGTGTGCGGTGATAGAGTTCTTTTCCGAGAAAGAAACGTTTTCCTGTTACCGCTGCAACTCACAATTTGTTTTTCAGAAAGGATCTCAGAGGCCGAACAATTGTTTTCACAGCCCATTTGTTGAGGACAACTAGGCATGTCCAGCAAATAATTACCTGTATGTGGCAAACGCTGTGGCAAAAATCTAGAACAAACAAAACAAAGCATGGAACAAAATATATGTGGGGGTAATATGGGGGATATGCTTATATACATGTCTATTCACAAGGTAGAAACACAGACATCATACGTATGCATATACTTTTAAATAATTCGAAATATGTAAATGGTATTAACATGGTGGTATTTATGCCTAGTTTTTTAAACACAATTTTAATATGATTAGGATACAACCATATCAGTATCGTTGATATGTATTTAGATTTAAAAAATATTTCTAAATACATTTAGCTTTCAAACGTTAATATCATTTACATGACTTTATACATTTTGAGCACAATTCTTAATATTTTCAGGGACATGTATATCTATTTTTAACATAGTTGTAAATGCATTCAGGGTATATCAGTTTTTCAACAGAAATCTAAATAATTTGGGGTTCACAAATATTCATATACTGACATGTGTATACATTAATCCCAAGTATATCTATGTTTAGGTTATAAACACTCTGTCTGATTCTGTACATGTTTGTATTTAAAGACAATTCTAAATATGTTGGTCATTCAAATTATGGACTTTAGGTTTCTATTTCCGATCTAAAATCAATGGTTAAGTTGTGATTATGCAACAATCAACATGAGTATGGGACAGTGGAGTTGCTGGATTTGTGTTAAAAGAGAAGACACCAGTTTGGAGTAACTGTCGGTTCGTCAGTGAGAAGAATCACCAAGCTCCACATTCCTTCCCACGATCCAACATTTACAAGTATGTTAACTTGAAACTTAAAACACTTCCCTGAATTAAGCGTTTGACAAAAACAATTCTTCAGCAATTCTTTGAAAATATTTGAAAAATATACCATAATTCTCTGTAATCTGTATTTTTATTGTGAAGTATATGTGGATAATTCAAACACAAAACTGTTTTATTTTCTCCAGCATACTCAGAGAAAAGGGAAAATAGTTTTATTCATTAATACAGTTTTTAAGCTGGCAAGGAAAGACACTTTTACAAAATATAGCTAATGTAGCTGCCGAACTGGTTTTTACAACTATGACACGAACATTTGTGTCACTACATGGCGATTAAACCTCGCTTCACTTCGCTTTCATTTATAATGTACTGTGATAAGTAGGAACTACTCTACTGTGTTCTCTGTACAGCTCCGATAACCTTTATGTTCTCTATATAACGAAATATAAGCACGCTTACTCGTATAAACAACTGGCTGTAAACCCCTTTATGGCTGTGTGTGTACATGTGTGTGTCCGTGTGCGTGTGTGTACGTGAATGGGTGAGTAAGTGTGTAGGGTGATGATGATGATGATGATGATGATGATGATGATGATGATGATGACAGGGGTACAGCGGGTGACGGGTTTGGGAGGAGGGGGAGAGGCATTGTTGGCTTTATGTTGCTATCGAGTTTAACAGGAAAAGGTGCCAAAACGATCCCCAGAGGTCCTGAGATAACAGTCACGTATTGCAGTGTTTAGACACATACATGTTACGCATAACTTGGGAAAATGTTTTTAGGTTAGAAAAATAAGCTCTACCGAAAACATAAGTGTGCCTTAACCCTCAATCTCTCTGTAAACAATGTCAATGTTCGGATCAGTTTTCCTATGTGAGTTTTGTATGATGAAAAGTTTCTGTTTTCATAACAACCGTAGTGTCTGGTCGGCTTTGTTCGGAGGGTTCGCAGTGTCTCTGCCATCAGGTGTTGGTCTTGGAAAGCGATATGTCGCTGTTGTAGGGAAAGAAAAGGAGAAAGCATGTACAGTGTGCTAAAGGAGTCTGTCGTCTTCAAACTCTACACAGGACAAAGAGATTCGACTAAAAACACATAATTGTAAATATACATAAGAAACAATACACTACCAAACATTTGTTTCTCCAATGTGTTCAAAACACGTGTGACGAATGCAGTCTGTGTCGCCAGCGACCTGCAAAAACCTTGTATAGAAGGATGGAATACTAGCACTTAGTCTCTGAAAATATATCATTTTGATAGAAATACATTAATTCTATTCTGTTTAATATTGTATTTAAAAATCGATAAGGATCCCAAGTGAGATAAGAACCTGTCGACAATCTAGACTTGCTTCATGTAGAGTCCTTGCTTTACAGATAGGGTCGGGCGGAAGGTAAGTATTATGGTTCAGGGACTGTGAGGCAGACTGAAGTTTGGGTTTCTGCTGCAAGTTTTAGCTTCCTGTTGAGTCAGTGTTGGCGCGCCCTGCAATGGTCTGTAACTAGCTTCAGCTAGCTCACTCCATCATCCTTGCCGGGATCAGGTGAAAAACGAGATTTCAATGACAAAGAGAAACAACATGTTCAGAATCAGTTTAAGACAGAGCAATCCCTTTCAAAA